TAAACAGATCACCAAAATACACCACTGGCAGCCACAGAAAGGATGAGACTCTTAAGTCTTCACGGGATACATTCCCTAGCTTCCAAAAGCTTACACAGTTCAAAGCTCATTGTCGGCCCTGCCAGATGACCAGGGACTACCTCCTCCCAAGCCACCTGCCAATTCATCATAGGGCAAAAACTCAAAGAAATCCCTCGGCTTTGCAACTCACTCCAGAGACCTCAAAAAGAAAGATCATTTACCTGTAACTCCTCTGAGATCTGCTGTCTGTTCATGTTGACACGGAATTTACTGTGCAAACATTGGAAGCCAGAGAACTTCCACTTCAGCAGTACTCACAGAAGCGCCCGTGTCTTGCTACTTCTTGCCGCACTGTTGCAGAGGGCAGGCCAACAAACTGCCCTGGCGTGACAAGCTCAAACCAATCAAACCAATCATCCCGCTAAGTACCTCAACTCTTCTTATCAAAGATCCAGTTATGGAAGACTTCTGTCAACGCAAAAGGAAAGAACACCTGCAATGCTCAGTCATGCATATAACACCCTTAACAAAGTGACATTTGAAAGCTCATGTCATCTCACTGAAGTACTGAACACGAAGCCTTTTGACAGCCTTGTTTCCCCTTTCCTCCCAGGCAATAACAGACAGGACAGCCCTGAAGAAAGGGAAGGTCCCTCCTGTCTGTACAAAAGACTTTGAGAGCTCTCCCAGAAGGGTGCAAGAATGCAGCGAAACTTCCCATGCGTGGGCACAAGCCAGAGACAGCTGCTAAGTGCTCTGAAACTGCAAGACAGAAAATCTTACCCTTTTCAACTCCAGAAAGCAACGTGGGATACCAGGCAAGACAGCTCACAAGAGACAGCAGCTTGTTTGCACACCAGACAGGAAATCCCATCTATTTGCTTATAATCACATATCTCATGAGATCGTTCTTGACAATAAGCAGAGTTTCTCTCACTAGCCGACCATCAAGCTTGTGCTAGACCTCATGCAGGCTTCAAGTCACTAAACAGAGGAGCCGAGAAAGGCAATCAAACTCTCCAGGAACAGAGAGGCGGATTCCAATCCACAGAGCTACTGGATACATACCCACAGAAAGAACTGAAACCAGACCCTCCCCAACCACATCTCAAGAGACTGTGCCTTGACCCTGCAGGCTACTTCAGAAATGAGAGAAATCAAAAAGAAAGTTAACGCATCGCCTGACTTGAAAACGGAGAATGCATCTACCACGAATCACAGGCTGACTCTGAAAGAAAAGGACTTCTTAGTTTAGAAGGCTTGGAAGCCAACTTCCAGGTACTTCAAGTTCAAAATATAGAGGGTTCTTTTCTCCTCTGATCAACGTCTCAGTTTCAGCTGGGATGGAATTGTTTTCTTCAGAGCGCCTGGTATGATGCTATGTTTTGGTTCTAGAAGAAAAGCAAAGTTGATAATACAACAATGTTTACAGCTGTTGCCAAGCAGCGTTGTACAGAGCCAAAGCTGTTCCAGCATCTCAGTGAAGAGCTGGTGTGAGGGCCCAGTGAGGTGGGACGGAACCGAATCAGGACAGCTGACTTAAACTGGCCAAAGAGATATTCCATACCATATAACTTAATGCAGAAGGAGAGTTTTGAAGGGGTGGGAGTTCATCTGGCCCTTCCGCACTGCTTGGGGAGCTAGGTAGGTATTGGTCGCTGGATGGTAAGCAATTGCTTGAGTACCACTTGTTTTATGTAGTCTTGATTATATCTATCTACCTACAAGCACGCAGCGGGGGCCTCTGGATACCTTAAAGGCCGGGGACGTTGGGAGGGGTGATTCTCTATCTATTTCTATCGCTCCATTTGTGTCAGACGCGAAGTGACCCCTTTGAATTAGGCACAACTGTTTAACCTAACTAAAGAATCCCACAGCGAGGTGAGGAGGATAAGCACGTTACAAACTTCAGTTTGAAGTGTAACGTAAGCCCTGAATTCACATTTAGAGTCCACGTGTCTAACTGTCAGGGCCGTAACGAGGCCCGGCTGCGACTCCCAGGTGCCGGGGCCGCGGCCCCCCGGGCGCAGCTGCGGCTCGTCGGGAGCCCAGGGCACGGCCCCCCCCCGACGCCTTTTAAGCTCCGCCGGAGGCTGCGGGGAGCTACCGGGAGATTTCTGAGGATCCTCTGCCTGTCGGTGTGGGCTTCGTTCCTTCCTGGAGCGCTGGCGCTACGGGGGTTGAAAAGCGGCGCGGGGATCTGCTTTGTCAATGCAACGGTGGGGCTCTGTTTAACGTTCTCTGTTTGTTGTCTTGTTTCAGGCTGCTGTGAGTCCTTTGGCGGTCAAGATCAGCCCGAACAGGTAAGCGCTTTTGATAGCGATGGCACAGCGGAGAGTCCGGGAGTCGTCACGGTTCCCGGTGTGCGGCAGGACTCTGCCGGGCCGTCGCCTCGCTCTTTTCGGGTCCGGCGTGGGAGCTGCCGCCGGGCTCGCTTCGGAGCCGGTATGTCGTCGCTGCCCGGCTCCCGTTGCTTTCCCAGAACGGGCTGCGGCTCAGCTTCTGGAATCCTAGCCCAGCCCCGGGATGCTCTCAGCCCCACGAGGTTCTTCGGGGCACCGCTTTAGTTTTTCTGTTGTCCTCGGTGGGAGCGAGCGGGATTCCTTCCAGCCCCATTCCTGCAGCCTCGGTGCTGCCGGTAGCAGGAAGCAACGCGAAGGGCTGCCGAAAGACGCTATTTTCTTTCTTTGCAGGCTGAGCGAGGGCTGCGGCGGATTTTCTCGTCAGTCCGAACAGGTGGGTTTAGGAGTCCTTGAGTAAGTTCTCTCTTTCGGGGCTTTGTGTAGGGTCGCTTTCACGTAGCTCTTTAGAAGGACCGGCACGGGGCTGCCGCTCGACTGCCCGAGACCGAGCCCGGCCCCGGGGCGGCCTCAGCCTCCGAGTAGGGTTTTGCGGGTGCTTCAGTCCCTCTCGCTTCCAATAGCAGGTGCTAACAGGGTGGGACAGTGTATTCCTCCCCCTTCCCCGTCCTTTACGTCTAAAACCAGGAGCATCACGTTGCTCCCGTTGTGGAGACACGGCAGGGCAACTTGCACGACAGGCGTGCTGTCGTGGATGGCTGTGTTCTTATTATGAAACTGTGTTCTTATTAGGGAAGTCAGACCAGCGAGGTGATGGAGCAGCTTTTCCAGTGAGAGAACAGGGATGTATTGAGCCCTGCCTACTGAGGAATGAAGAAGTAGCAGAGCCGTTGCCCGTGAGGCTGAAACAGCAGGTAAATGAGTGTTACAGGGGGGCGCTGGTTACAGACCAGCGTGAGGATGTCGATGAGAATTTCTGCACACAGCTTAAAGTAGCCTCACGGCTGTAGGCTTTTTTTTTCCTCACAGTAGACTGGAGCCACTGTGCCAGCTGTCAGGAGAGCAAGGATAGCAGGTTATCAATCCAGGGGTTTCCTGCAGCGTATTGAAGGTAAAAAGTTCTGACACGGGTGACGGAGGAGCCAGTGAGAGAGGAGCGCCTCTGGAGCTTGCTCTCCCTGTTGCGGAAGCGAAGCGTAGGGGTGGCCTCGAGCACGACTGAATTCTGGATGTCGTGTGGAGGATGAAGAGTGGGACTTGCAGGAAGACAACTTAGTTCTCCTAGAGGACTTATGCGGAGGTATGTCCTGCTAGAGCATCAGAAGGGGTCCCGTGAGCAGTTGTGCTCACATCTGCATTTCAAAGAGGAGAAGCTGAGCAGAAATAGCAGGAGATCCGTGGGGGTGAATGAGGAGCTTGCCAATAAGCTCAAGGGGAGAAGGTAAAGATGCGATGAGGAAGGCCATGGCTCACTAACGGTATCGCCGTTGGGTGGGGGATCAGGGCTAACGGAAATTGTGTGTTTCTCAACAGCAGTAAGGAGACTCGGGAACAGCGGGCCTCTGCTATACAAAGGAGGGGCCCTGGTGACGGAGGATGTGAGAAAGAGGAGGTACCAAATGTTTGTTTTTACTTATTTTCTTTTTTTCAGTGGTTGCCGCTGAGATCGCTCCTTGCTGATACCCCAGGAAAGCCTTTGAGGAAGGGTGACTTCCTGTTGATTGCAGAGGAGCTGGTCGAAGGCGAGATGAAATGGTTTGCAGATCCCTGGCCCTAGCGGGATACGCCTGAGAGTACTGCGGTAGAAGCGATTGCCGCCTGGTTGTCTCTCACTTTCCCTATGGTCTTTCTTGTAGGAAAGATGTGTGAGAACTCGAAGATAGCTGGCGTCGCTGCAGCCTTCAGAAGGGGTGAGGATGGCCTGCGCAAAGGTAGGCCAGTTGGCCTCGACTCCATCCCCCAGAAGATGATGCAGCAACATCTAGATAGCATCATCGAGCAGCAGGAAGAGAAGAAACTTCTAAGGAGGGCTTCAGGTGGATTTGCCGAGGGGAAATCAGGACAGACCAACAAGGTCGCCTTGTGTGTTGTTGGTACTGTTTTGGTTTTTCTGAGAGAAGGCTGGAGGATGTCGCCGGGGGAATATGGCTACTGCTACAAATATCTGAAGCGCAGGAGTCCAGCCGATGGAGATCGGCTCATCTGCAGAGCAAAGGGAGCAGCTTGGAAGGACTTGCACTGCAGAAGCTCTATACAAAGAGAAGGAAGAATGACTTCACCGTGTGAGCGACGGAATAGGCTGCAGAGTCTGCTACTCTGGGGCTGTTCCGGTTGCTTTCCTGGGTGATGGGCGGCTTCAGCAAGGGAGCGGCTCTGCAATGGTGTTTATTTTGCAGGGTGAGGGCTGCAATAGGTGCCGGTCAGAGGATGTTGACGGAGGTCTTCCCGCAGGTCCGGAGTGAGGCGAGTTTTGTCTTCTCGTCCTGCCCCTGGGATGGAGTTCACGGCTGGGACTGGGCGCTGGTATGCTTTTGTTTCAGGCCTGAAAGAGTGGCAGATCTTGCGGTTCTTCCAGAGGAGGAAGGGAGTTGGAGGAGCGAGAGGTGAGAGAGGCACCACAGGCAGCGGCGGCGGAGCTGCGGCGGCCCTTTTCTGCTGGAGTTGGTTGTCTCGTCTCTTCCGGTGAAGCGGAGCACCCCAGAGTCGCCTTCTTCTTTCAGCGCCGGCGCCTCAAGAGCAAGGCTGCGATACTGGCGTACGTGGAAGTGGCAGAGCTTACAGGTAGGCCTGTGCTTTTTGTATTTCATAGGGTCCTGTTGGCTTATTGTTTTCTTTAGAGATGGCTTGTTAGTCAGTTTGATTTTGAAAGAAGGTGACGGGAGTGCTGTTTAGTTGTTGCTGGTGCTAGGAACTGAGATTTGGTGTTGGTTTGTTAGTCAGTTGGGTTGTTTTTTCTTGGTGCTGGAAAGCGTAAGTTGGAATTGGCTTGTATGTTAGGTTTCCTTTTTGTTTCCTTCGGTGCTAGAAACTGAAAAAGGGAATTGGCTTGCGTTATGCTTTTGTCTTTGGTCCTAGAAACAGATTTGGCGTTGGCTTGCTTTTTCTTGGTGCTAGAAGCTGTAATTAGGAGTTGGCTTGTTACGTTGTTTTTTTCTTGGTGCTAGGAATTGAAATGTGGTGTTGGCTTGTTAGTCAGTTTGGTTGTTTTTTCTTTGGTGCTAGATTGTTTGTTAGTTGGGTTTTTCCATTGGTGCAAGAAACTGATAGTTGGAATTGGCTTGTTAGGTTTTTTTCTCTGGTGGTAGAAACTGATTTGGTGTTGGCTTGTTTTTTCTTGGTGCTAGAAACTGTAATTAAGAGTTGGCTTTTTTTTTTTTTTTGGTGGTAGGAATTGAACTTTGGTTGTTTTGGTGCTAGATTGTAAGTTGGAATTGGCTTGTATTTTTTTTTATTGGTGGTTTGAATTTTAACTTTGGCTTTTTGGTGAGTTTGGTTGTTTTGTTTGGTGCTAGATTATAAGTTGGAATTGGCTTGTATTTTTTTTTATTGGTGGTTTGAATTTTAACTTTGGCTTTTTGGTGAGTTTGGTTGTTTTGTTTGGTGCTAGATTGTAGTTGGAATTGGCTTGTTTTTTTTTATTGGTGGTTTGAATTTTAACTTTGGCTTTTTGTTGAGTTTGGTTGTTTATGGTTTGGTGCTAGAATAGATTTTGGTTTTTTCTTGGTGGTAGGAATTGAAAGTTGTGGTGTTTTGCTAGAGGGGGAAAAAGAAAAAAAACTTTGTGCCATTGTTGTTTTTTGGGTGCTAGACACTGGATTTTGCACTATCTCTAAAGAGATTTTTTTTTTTTTTTGGGAGGGTGGTGGGTTGATCGAACTCGGAATTTTGTGAGGGAGGGGGGCGCCGGGGCCCTCCCCTGGAGGGAGGGGGGCGCCGGGGCCCTCCCCTGGAGGGCCCGGGAGGGAGGGGGGTGCTGGGGAGCCTTGCTTACCTAGAAGGGAAGTTGCTGCTCTGCTCTCAACTTCTTTTTGAGTGTAGCTGGTGGAAAAGGTGAGTCTAATGGAAAAATAAAACAATGGAAGTGCCCTTAAAGCTTCCTTGTGAGAGGTCTGTGAGGCCAAATTGCTTTATAGTTCTGGAGAGTTTTTTGCATTTGTATGTCTCTTGTAGTTAAGTTTTAATCCTTATCTAAGATGATGCCTGTTGTGTAAAGTCCTCAGTTGTATCGAGGACAGGTAATGTAAAGGCTTAAAAAAGATTGTGTATTTAAGTAGTGAAGAATTGGGCCTCTGTTTTAAGAGAAATATCTTTACCTGTTCTTCTACAGGTTTGCGTCAAGAAGAAGGTCTATGCGTAGCTCTGTTCTTCCTCTTTCCGTGTGCTTCCCCCAGAAACTGTGAACGTCTACGGTTGCTTCCAAGTGCTGGGAAGCAGGTGATGATGCGTCTGTTTTCTTAGAAGATTTCTCATTATTATTATTATTATTATTATTATTGGAAATGCTGCTTTTACCAAAGGCGAGAATGCTCTGTTAGGAATTTACATTACTAACGTGGACTGCGATGGAATGGCTGAATGCAGTTACCTTAAGTTTTTGTGGAGGCCTATTTGTCTTCAACTTAACAAAACTAGAACTTCTAACTTTATCTGGGGGGAAAAAAAGAGGATGTGCTGGTTATTTGTGTACTTAAGGCTCATTCCCTAGCTTAGTTATCTCAGGGGACGAGAAAGGGGACAAAAATTACTCCTCGTGCAATCATCAAATGAGCATTCTATGTTCTCTAAAAAAAAAAAAAAACAAAAACCACCAAACTAACAAAACCAGGAAGACATAAATCCGTATAGAACAGTTTAACAAGTTATCTACTTCAAAACTGTAATGTATAAAACTTGCATTACTCACTGAACTGAATTGTGTGGAGTGCTTCCTGGGTGTGCCGCGTTGCGGTTGAATTTCGGAATAATGATCCTTCTTGAATTTGGTAGAGCTTCCTGAAGTTGAAGGCGAGGGACCTGTTGGGAGAGCAGAGCGATGACAACTCTTTCAAAAAACTTTAATCTTTTTAAGTAAAGTACACTGATAATTCTCTGCTTTTCAGCTAGATAATGCAAACTAGAGCTTCTCAAATAAACGCTTTACCTTAGCTTTTGTGAAGTTAGTTTCCCTGCGCTTTCACCCCCGACTGTAATGCGAACGACTCGAAGCTGTCCTCCTTTGCGTTTGCCTTGCCTGTAAAATGAAGTGAACTGTTTGGTTTCTGCCTTTGTGTGAGATGTTTGTGTGTAGTGGGTTGCCTCTCGATAGAAGAGTTGGCAATTATTCATTTGCTTTGCTGTGAGTTGTTTTGCAGAATAAGATATTAACAAATTCAGGACAGAAACTGCAGCTAGTTTACTGAGCTGTAATGCTGCCCTAGTGTAATTGCAACTCTATTGAAGTGACTAGGTGATTTTCTTCATGAGAAGAAGATGGCTGCAGATTGTTAGCATGTCATTTCCTGCGGACAAGAAGAACACGAATTAGAAAAACCCTCCGCAGGAAATTGTACTACTGAGTTTTGGGAGAAAAGTAATCAATAAACTTAACGTTGAAATGAAGTGTGTGTATATGTGGTATTTGTTTACAGAATCAAAAAGTGGGGGTGTGGAAGAGACCTTACCCTCCTAGTCCTGCGCGAGACCGAGACAGCCTCCAATTCCATCTCCACGAGCGTTGTCCAAATGCTACCTTAACTCACAACTGGGGAAGGGACTCCTGCCACCCCTGCCCGGTACGGTCTGTGCAACCCTAGGGGGCAGATGCTCCTTCTCCCAACTGTCTGTCACCTGACGCAGCTCTATGCTGTCCCCTCAGGGCTGCTTGCTGCCGCTGCTCGGCGGCTGCCTCCTGTGTGAGGAGCTGTAGCCTGCTGTGAAGCCTCCCCTCGGCCTCCTCTGGGCTGAACTAAGTGTAAGAGCAGGGCAGCTTGTCCCAAACCTGTACCCCCTGGCTCTCTCTGTCTTGTATCACAGAAGCAAAAAGGTGGGTGGAAAAGGTCGCTAAGATCATCTAGCCTAACCCTCAGCTCTTCCCTGCCCCATACTTAACCTGTGAAACTCAATGCGACAGCAGCCCTTTCATCGGCGCTTCGACAAACAGAGACTCCTCCTGCTCCTTAGGCATTCTTGTGGAAAAGAATTTCTTCTACTTTTCAACCAGAATCTCCACTAGTGTAACTTAGGGCTGTTCCCTAGCGCTGAGCTACGTGGGAATAAAAGCGGATCTTTCCTTCACTACAGCTTTCTTTGTTGTAGTTGTGGAGAGTGAGCTTTAGCTCTCCGCTGGACACTCTAATAAAATATATTTTGTTTAAGCTGTGGTCATAACTGCAGGCAGTTATGGTCTGTACATAAAACCGGCATGGACCCATCCCTGGTGTAGAAACTCATCAAACTTGATGCTACTGGGACTGTGCGGCGTACTACTGCATTGAGATCTCTGTCCAAAGCCTTTTACCCACAAGGGCTCAAAAGATCCTCCTCGTTTAATGTCGTCCACAAACTTACTCGATCCACACTCAAGTCCCCTGTCCTGAAACTGAGAAGAAAGCTGGCTCTGAAAACAAGCCCTGTGCGCCTTGTCTAGCCACTGTCCGCCAAGCTCTAGCAATCCCGTTTAACACTGCGAGCCTCTTCTTATGGGGCCAATTAATAGGTCACTGTTTTGTTGGTTTAAAGAATTGCGATTGGAAATGCTGCTTTCTAAGGCGGAGTTCAGTTTTTGGACATGCTTGCCTGACAGGGATTTTCCTTACGTACTCAAACAAGTAATACACGCTTAGAACTGAACTGCATGTGAAGAAATTTCTGTAATCCAGGCGTTCTCTTAAGCGGCTGAATACTGCTGAGCAGTGATTAGCTCGGACAAACAGTCAAAAAACAAGGAGATGGCAATTAATAGCCACAACAGACAGTTGAAGTTAATGGACACATCCCTCTAATATAGGAACATAACACAAGAAGCCTTAATTGGTAATAAATTAACAGCTAATGACTGAAGATCTCCTCCCGCTAACCGTTGGCTGTTTGTAACCCCTACGATCCCAGTTATTTCAATATTCAAATTTTATGCATAATGATGCTATTACTACATATTCCACTCTTAATACCCTGAATGACTGAGTGACAAGTACAATTTGCAGGTAGAAGGCCTAAAACCGCCGAAAAACCCCTTCTGTATTTCTTAGGCGCGCATTCTGAAGAGAGCTTCTGCAATAACTGCCTTTATAAATGTATTTTTCCTTATAAATGGAATACTCTCTTTAGTGTCTCTTTATCCAGAGGCCCAGGCTGGCTTTAAATGTATTCTTCCATCACTGAATAAAAGAAATGATTTGCTTTTCCTTTCTTTATTTTTTCTGATATGTTATGGTAAAACAGAAATCAAAGCTCTAATCTTTAACTCACGCGGGCTTTGCGACCGTGAACAGCATTTGACTGTTTCCAAAATCTGACCCTTGATCCTTCCTTGCTGATGCTGAACGTCGGTCCCTAATAGCGCAGGACGTGAGGAAGCTCTAACTTTCTCCCATATCTGTACTCACGTGTGATAATAACGTGCACAGTAATTTGACTAATGCATCGCATTGGGTTACCCAGTAAGAACACGAATTCCCCCCCAAACGTGTACACAATGAATTTCAAACTACAGGCGTTTTAAAAACAAAAAAAACAATCAACCAACCAACCATCCGAGAACAATAGTAGGTCTTTTAAACTTCTTTACCTGATTTAACGGTTCGTAGGTTCTTAAGTATCAGACGCGCCAAAAACCAGTGGTAGAAGCAGGAAAAATAAGGAAAGAGGAGAGCTACAGACATGGTCTTACACATCTTATGGCTTATAGTATAAGCCATTTAAGTTACCTACGCACAGCAGCCTTGGAGAAGCCAGGCAGAACTGCTTCCCAGAGAAAAGTGGAACGATGAGAAGAACTTGAAAAGGAATAATCGCTTGGAAAAAGAAAAATGCAAAGGTAACCGAAAAGAAAATGTAGCGTCTGGCAGCTGAGGGATTAACCACCACGGAGAACTTTCTGCTCCTCCTTCTCCCAGTCACTCCCGAAAGGTATTTGAGCTTTTAGTTTTTTAGCTTCAGTAACCCTATACTGAAATGCTAAGGTTCTCTACGTGGTAAAAAACAGCCCTCGGATTGCCTTTTTATTTTCCTTTTCAGAACGCAGGAAGTGTGATTCCACACCAATATCCTACGTGGTCAGAATTTCTGAGTGTGCTCACACCATCCTCTCAACAGATCGCAGATAACTTCGTGAACGAGTAACCGGCCAATTAGGGGAAGTTGGGAGCGAATTTAATTAATTAATTAACAATCAGATAACATTAAAATTAAATGTTCTTTTCTAAAGAAAAAATGGAAATAAAGCTGTTTCAGCGGGGCGTTGAAACAAGTCTCGGTTCTCTGGCTCAGAAGCGCGTCTCTGTGTCAGCCTTACAGTTTTGCTAAAGACAGGGAAACGGAAGAGAGTGCTTTGAACTTGGGCTTCCAAACACCGAATTACTGCATTAGCTATTATTAGCTAATATTAGCTATTTTCTCCCTTGAGCTAAAGACAGTCAGACCTAAAAAATCCCTGTCGAGAAAAATCCCTCGTCCACTTTGCTAGTAACTTTGAGGAATTTCAGCCGAGAGGCAAAAGCATTTCACCTTGGGAGAGGAGTTCCCACGCTTGGGAGTCTCTGTGATCTTAAAGAGGCGCAAAGTATGCGCAAAACCCCGATAAAGCGCATAGCGTGTTGGAAGCCTCCGTCTCCGCAAAGGGAGGAGGCGACGCCGTACCTAATTGTCAGGACTTAGCAGTGAATGAAATGGGTTTGCAGTAAGGTGCCCCTCGGCCAGCGCAAAGCCCCATCTGGAGTCCTGTGCCCTCAAAGTGAGAAATACTGGGAGCTGTGCGAGTGGCTGCAGAAAAAGCCCTAAGGGTGACCTAATGGCTGCAGCGTGTCTCCTACGAAGAAAAGTTGATGGAATCGGGTTTGTTTAACTTGGAGAAGAAAAAGCCTCGGCGTGGCCTTCCTAGCACTCGAAGGAAGCTTTACAACAAGAAGGGGATCAACTTCTTACATGATCTGTGTAACAATACAATGTGATAGAGATCACAACAACAACAGCAGCAGCAGCAGCAGCAGAGTAGCAAAGCCTCCGGCTGCAGCAAATGAAAATGAGCCTAAAAGCAGCAGCTGAAAAATGAAGGGGGAAAAAAAGCTGCTTACCCTCAGGAGACCACAAACTCACCAGACAAATGGCTCCTGCTTCCCCTGCCGGCCCTTAAATGAGGTCTGGGAAGGGGTGGATCCTGGCTCCACCCCTAGCAATAGCTCAGGTACATTGGATGCACCTGAGTTTGCCTGGGTGGGCCCTGACTTCTCACCACGTGCTCAATCGCCACTTCAGGCTGCGACTCGGCATTTCTGCTACAAACTGACAGTGATAGGACGAGGCGGGATGGCTTTAAACCCTCGGCTTAAACGCTGCTGCGAGGCAGTGGCTCGGCGTTCTTAAAAAGGTCGTGACTGCTCCGCCTCTGAGGGCCATCGAGGCCGGGTCAAATGGGGCCCTGGGCATCCTGATCCAGTGCTGGCAGCCCTGC